AGTTACCAGTGTGTATTATTTCAAATAAAAAGTCAGCACTATATAAACAAAAATGAAGTTTTACCTCAAATATCCAAGCCAATAATGAAATCGGTAGTCGATCACTTCACTAAATTACAAGAAATTTGAATAACAGCAACAAAATGGCACATAAAATGTAAAATCTGCCATTTGAGGCGCAACTTAAACAAGTAAAAAAAAAAGTTAGACAAATGTTACAAAATAACCTTTTCAACAGCTGGTTGCTTGTACCAGGGGTCTCTCCAATGGACTGAAGACTCAAGTTATCTTCTCCCAGAGGCGTCCTTTACGTAGCTCTCTCATTTGTCTGATGCATCTAGGTTTGAAGAGAGAAAAGTTCAGTCAAAGTTTTCATGACATACCTCATGTGGATGACTTCGGACATACTTCTAGTAGTTTCAGATGCCCTGGTCTAGTTTCATTAAGTTTTAAGCACGACTGTGGTGTTCCACCTCCCCCCCATGGTCCAATTCAAAGACCAAATTAAACTGAATGGTTAGATATTACAGTTCTATTTATTTATCACTTTAATATATTAGAGTTGTTGTGGAGATCAGGCTGTTAGTCAAAGCACTTAACTTGAATTCAGCCTGAGTAAGAATAAGTTAACATAATGTTACAGAAAACCAATACGTTATATAAACTTAACTATTTAGCCTGCAATTGACATTCAAGACAATGTGGGAAAACATCACTAGAGCCAATACAGCAACTTAATGTTAGAGCTAAAGGCCCTTTCCTTTTTAATAAAAAACAGGACCAAACAGTTTGAGGGGTTAAAGACACACTATCCTTTCCCCACCCAGTGCATCCTCAAAAGCTTTGTGGAATGGAGGAAAACCTGGTTTTCATCAATCTTCGTGCATTTGCTGCTTCTAGAAAGACGGTTACCTCCAGTCAGAACATCCATCCCTGTGCCACTTTTCCGGTACCAAAGGATAGTGCATCTTTAACATTTTAAAGACAAACCTGCTCCAATACACGCCCACAGAAACTGGTCCCTGGAGGATCAGCCAAATCAGTTAAAATCTGCAATACTGGTCAATATTCTTTTAGCAAACAGGAGACCGCAGCTTTAAAGGGGAAAATGCAGATGTTGGATAAATACAGTAAGAAATAGTCATTTTCATTTATAGGTCTCATACAGTATTTTATTAAAAGCAAGCCATTAATCTAAAACACCCACACAAATGTGTCTTTTGAAGGAAGTTCTTTAGTACTTATATCCCTAACCAAATAAATGGAAAGCACGGTTCCCCATTAGGATTCATTTGGTTCAGTCTGTTAATACTCTAAACTACCCAACAACCCACTTAAATGCTAAAACGAATTTAACATGCGGACGGCGCTGTTCCCTAGCTACCTTACCATTTTTCTAAGACGATACAGCTCCTTCCTCTTCAGGAGACTTAGGGGGACTCTTAGACCTTGATCTGGAGTTAGATTCTCTCTTGGAGACAGGCGGAGGGCTCCTAGACCTCGACCGGGATCGCGACCTTGACCGGGATCTGGAGACGGAGGATGACTTCGATTTGGATCTCCGGGCAGACCTGGACTTGGAGGTGGAGCGCGACCTGGAGCGCGTGCGGGACCTCGACTTGGATCTGCTGTAGCGGGACCGGCTACGGGACCTTGAGCGGCTCCTGCTCCTGGACCGGCTGCGGCGGCGTCTTCGGGGGCTGCGGTTTTTGAAACGCTTGCTTAGGCGCGCTCCCTTCCCGCCCACCTGGGCGAGCAGCAGAGGCCCATGCGGCTGTTACGCCTAGCGGCGGCGGAGCCCCGCGTGCCCCTGGGGATCCCACGTGGCTCTAGCTGTTTTCGCGCCGTCAGAAACACTCCCCCCCCCCAGGGGATCGGCTTCCTCTCGCATCCCGCAGGAGCTTTGCTGGTCACCTCCCCCCACTTGTGCAGAGGCTGCTGGGCATCCCCTCCCCTCTTTATTTGCCCCCCACGTACAATTCGCCTGTCCCCCATGGCTTTAAGGGGGTTCGTAGCCTCCCCACAATGCCTCGATCCCCCTCCCCCCAGGCTTTTAGCCGGGAACCTCGCTCCCTCCCCATTTCATTCGCCCCCCCACGTGTGAAGAAGCCGTCCCCCCTTGCTTTGAGGGGGCGTGTGTTCTCCCGACCAGGCCCAGACCCCGCCAGGCGCTGACCTGCGGCTGCGGCGCCCGGCACCCCCGCTCTCTCGGCCCGGGCG